GCACTTTACAAATATCTCATTTGATCCTTTACAACAGCCCTGGGAGGTAAGTACTGTTATAATCCTCATTTTACAGATATGAAAACTGAGGCAGACAATAAAATTATTTACCCCCTTTATTTTACAGATGAGGAAACATGACTTGTCCTAAGTCACACAACTAGTAAGTGACTCAGATGAGACTTGAACTCAGGTGTTTCTGACCCTAGGTCCAAAACTCTACCCACTGTACCACCTAGCTGCCTCATTTCTAGTTTATATTATGAGAAAAATCTATAAATACAAGAAAACAATATATTAGCTAATATCAAAAAGGGTGGGCCAAAATAGTCCCAGATGCATAAAGATCAACTTATTGATTCAGGAATTATTAAGCAAGCTGAATAGCAGTGCCATTACATACACTTATTTTATTGGTTATTGCAAAGACTTTGAATTAGTTTCATATTCATGACTTATTCAAGCACCTTAAAATATATAAAAGTAAAAAAAAAGAGTGAGAACATCAATGTATTTTATAACCACATGGAAAGCAGTTCTTTATTTAAAATATACTACTTTAAGGTCTGGATAGAGGAAGAAAACAAATCCTAGATATGCACTACCTGGCTAAATGAAGTGAAAACAAAACCTGGGTTCACTGGTTCACTATTGGAAAGACACTCGATGGTATTAACTGGAGATGTCTACATTGAGGGATCAAGAGAGAGATTTATATACATAGTCTATAAAGAACTTATAGCCTCTTAGAATTGAAGCTGTGTTAAAATAGAAAGATCACTGGACTTAATGGCCAGAGGCTTTGAGTTCAATTCCTAGATGGCACGTGTACAAGCTCTGTGACACGGAGCAATGCGACGTGGAGCAATGCATAGAACTTATCCTACAAAATGAGGGTGTTAAACTCAGTGATTTCTGAGGTCCCTTCTAATACTATGACCCTAATAAGGGGAAAGAGACTTAGGGATCAGAGTCTACCCAACCTTCAAAAAAGGAAGCAGTTCTATCGACTCTTGGTCAGATGATCATCTAGTCTCCCCTTGAACTCCTCTTAGGAGTGCAATGCTCATATAATCATAGCATTTAGAGTTGGAAGAGACCTCAGTGTTCACCTAATTTAATCCCTACTATCACCTACCTAACCAAATGGTTGTCGGAGCCCACCATCTTTCAGGCCAAGTCATTCCACTTGGGGACAGCTAATATTGAGCCTAAATCTGACTCTTTTCAACTTCTATCATTGCTTCTGGTTTTGCCCTCTGGGACTAAATAGGAATAAGTCTAATTCCTCTTACACATAAGAGTCCTTTGACTACTTGAAGACAACCACTATATTCACTCTTAGTTTTTTCTTCTCCAGTTTTCTCTTAGTTCCTTTAACCAATCCTCATATGATATAAAGTCAAGACCCTTCATGATTCTGCTTTCCAGAATTCAACTGTGGTCCTCAGAAGTGGACATCATACTTCAGCTCATGTCCCCCCTTAATTACTCAAAAGTTATTTTTGGTTGAGTCAAAATTTAAATCTATTGAATACCTAATCATTGGTCCTAATACTGACTTGGTTGGGGTGAGGGGAGCAGATAGTCAAAATGTCTTGACTATGTATTTCTAGTTATTTTTTTTAGCCAAAAACAAGGTTTATTAAAGATCCACCATGTTAGCCAGACTCTTAAGGAATCTGAGCATCTGTGAACTATTGGCTACATTGTAAAAATTTGAGCAGTGGCTAGATTTTAAAATCTAAGCCTGTATTTCTAATTCTTTAGGATATAGTATTAATGGATTTGAGGTGGCTAGGTGGCACAGTGGCTAGAGTACCAGGCCTGGATTCTGGAAAACCTGAGTTCAAATCCAGCTTCAGACACTTTCTACCTATGTGACACTGGACAAATCACTGAGCCCCTATTTACCTCAGATTCCTTATCTGTAAAATGGGGGTAATAATATCACCTATCTTGCAGGGTTGTTGTGAGGATCAAATGATAATAATCTTTGTAAAGCACGTAGTAAATGCTATATAAATGTTACTATCATTATTATTGTAATACTTAGCACAGTTCCTGGCACATAGTAAGCACTATATAAAAATTTTTTGTTGTTCACTTGTTTTAGTCATGTCAGACTCTTTGTGACCCCATTTGGGTTTTTTTTTGGCAAAGATACTAGAGTAGTATGACATTTCCTTTTCCAGATTATTTTACATGTAAAGACACCGAGGAAAATAGAGTAAAGTGACTTATGCAGAGTTACACAGCTACTAAGTGTCTGATGTGAGTTATGAACTCAGAAAGATGAGTCTTCTTAGCTGCCCATACAAATGTTAGTCATCATTATTATTATTTAAGTCAAAATATTATAGTAGAAAGGTCATTGGACTTGGTGAGACCTGTATTTGAACCTCCTACTTATAGTTGAATCACCTTGGACAAGTCATTCAACCACTCTAGACCTCAGTTTGATCATCAAACAGGACTACCTCATTAGGTTTGTACCAAATGTCAAGCAGGATGGTGGTGCTTTGTAAACTTTAAAACAATTATTAGTGGCTAACTGTAATTAAGTAAAAAGCTAACCACATTATTCTTATTATTTTTTTTACCCACTCTAGGATATAGTATATTTGGAGATATAATCCCCAAGGTCATACTCCATGGATATTATTATTAAACTGTAGCTAAAGAGGAGAGGCAGAGCTCACTCTTTGGTTTGAAATATGTGTCTTTTACTTACCCAAGGCTCTGCCTTCTGAATTATATAATACTTGAATTTCAGAACTAGGAATAGGAAGACAACTTTACCTGGAACAATACTGAGTTATAGTATATATTAAGTAAATATTTATTAAATTCAATGAAGAAAGTAATTTCCCCCCTCTTTTCTTCCCTTCTCCAACCCCCAAGCTTGGGGCTTATAAGTGTTGGTGGGATCATAGGATTTTCGAGTTGGAGAGAAACATTCTCATTTTACAAATGAGGACGCTAAGATGAAGACCAATTGATTAAGTGTTTCACCCAACATCACACCAGAAATAAGTAGCAGGAATTTAAATCTATGGCTTCTGACTCCAAATCAAGCACTCTCTCCCCTATACCACCGCCATCATATTCCCACCTCTACACAAAATTTTCCTTTACCACAGTGATGATGCTGGTGGTAACTACCATTTGACTGATCCAAAACCTTCCATAGACACCACACACACACACACACACACACACACACACACACACACACACACATACTGCCCACAGAACTAAATGTAGCCTTGGCCTGGCAGTCCTTTAGTAATCTGGTCTCAGTCTACCTGTCCAACCTCCTCTCTTGCCACTCCCTTCCTTAAACCTCCTAGTCTAGCCAAACAACATGTGTGGTTAAGCAAGAGTGGAAATTTTGGGTTTTTATATTTTATTTCTTCTTTCCTCCATAAAGTCTGCTTTTATTGGCATCTGGCAACCTGAATTTAATGTCTATACATGTGACATACACGAAATTCTTTTCCACCATCTCCTGTGCAGAGATTTCTAGCAGGCAGCAATTTCTTTAATCTCTAGTCTTTTCCTTCTTGAGTTTTCATATTGGACTTTTGCTGCATCCAAACCAAGATAAATTCAGTACCTACCACATAGACAAGTTTTGTTCTGAAAAATTTAAGCATATCATTTGCCAAATATTCAGGAAATGCATACCATATTAGTTCCCATATTATTCCTCCTCATCTGTTTAGCCCCTAATATACATTTGGAACAAAATTTTGAAATGTGTCCCCTCTAAATTACTCTCTCCCTCCAGAATTAAATTTTTAAAAAACATTTATCTGTTTTGAAATAAAAACCAGGTTGCCAGCTGAGGTTTCTCTAAGCAGAACAAATGTTTGCTTGGGTATGAAAAAGTGTAAATTAAGGAGCTGCCAGCTGTTTGTCAGTGATTGGGATGAGTACGTTGGTCAGCACCCCTTCTCTATGTCTGCCCAGTTGTATTAGATCCATTCCCTCCAAATCTCTGTGCTGCTCACCCACTTGCTCACCTGGTTTGAGAGTGACCTCAACCCCCCCAACCACAATGAACTTCAGTCCTTTAAAGGAAACCTGAGCTAGAGTTGTTCCAAGTATCTGTTCTTTCTTTTGTTTGGTTAAAACTTTGGCAAACTCCAAATCTAAAACTTGAAAGGAAAGGAATTCCTAAAGGCAAGTTCCACATTTCAATTATTTGGTAAATTCCCTTCCTTGCTTTCATACAAGTGTAGGGAATTTCATTTAAAGGAGGTTTTGCTTGCTCTATCAGAACACTTACAGAAAACACAAACTTGCTGACGTTGAATGGCATGTGCTAAATTTCAATTAACTGTACTACAACTGCTGCAAAACTCTGGCTGAGTCACTGTTCCTAATTAAATATTAAGATCTCAAAAATTAATGTAGGATGTGAAGAGTAGCTATGTGCCTGGACCCATATTTTGGATTTGATTTCTCTCCATTTCACTATATTAGGAGAAAGGAGGGGAAACTATGGAAGCAAATATGGCACCAATGTTTCTATTTGGACAGAAAGAGATATTTATAATCTGTAAATCCTTGGAGATCTATGGTATTCACTACGCTGGTATGATAGTTGATCTGGGAGCAGGGAAACTAACACCTGAGGACCAAATCCAGTCTGTACCTACTTCTGTATGGCCCATGAGCTAAAAATTGTTTTTATGTTTTTGAATAAAATGTTACATTTTTATTAGACATTTAATAAATATTGGTTAATGGGTTGACCAATCGACAGTGTTAGGTGATGGATGACCTACAAAGTTTGAATAAGCCATAGTCCCTGACCTCACAGAACTTACAATATAGTAGAAGAACCAAATTCACGTTTGACACATATGAAGAGATATAAGACCAATGTAGGTGTGTGTGTGGATGTATGTGTGTGTGTGTGTGTGTGTGTGTGTGTGTGTGTGTGTGTGTGAGTACATTCAGCAAAGGGCTAGGCAAGCGCAGTCTCTTACCTCTTGCTCTGCATAAAAGAAGAGATCTTCATGGAGTTCTCCATCTGTCAGAGCAATGATGACACTAGCAGTCCGGTAGCCTGCCAAATGCAAAGCAAATTTGTTCATTCCAATAAGCCTATACAAGATAAGCCCCTTTCCTTAGCACTAGGGATAAATGTATTTTTGGCTTAGCCACCAACATACCACATCACGGAACTTGAATGCTACCCAGAACAGAAATGGGAGAAAATGTGCTTTTCTTCTAAGTTCTCAGCCTCAAACTACTCTACAAAAGGTATACTCTAATCATGGCATGAAGATGACCCTGTATTCCCAAAGGCCCTAGAAAAGGAATATAAGCATCTAGAGAGCTTACCAAATCCAGAAAAGCTTTGACTACAGAGCGGTCATTTGGAGACCAGCCTAGCTGAGTTGGGGAAAATCATCCCCAGAATTGTCCACCAGGTCACAAGTTTCTTTGTGAATAATAACTCAATAATATCTCATAATATCTCATAACTCATAATAACTCAAGAAAATGATCTTAAGGAAAACATCCAGGACACGGATGAGCTAAAGGTCTATAGAAGGAATACCCATGTAGGTAAGTATTGAGTGAAAGTTGAAAGAGGCAAATTTAAGTTTGAAATCAATAAAAATTTCCTAAGAATTAGCACTGTCCAAAACTCGAATGGCCTGCCTCCAGACTGGACAGAGTGGGTTTCCCCCTCCTTGGAAGTCTTCCTGAAGAGGTGGGTCACCACCTATCAGATACATTCTAGATGACTATATAGATGCTTATATTCCAGCTCTAAACCTGTGGTCCTATATAATGCTTTACACACAACAGTCTCATGAAGTTGGCAATGAAAACATTATTATCATCACCACTTTAGATATGAATAAACTGAGGTTGAGAACCATGTAGTCACTTGCCCATGGTCACACAACTAGGTCCAGTTCTTATAACCCCATGTCCAATATTGTTCCACTATGTTATGTTATCTTGATAAATGGGAATTCCTAGTCTAAAGCTTTATTGCCAGGGCAGAGAACTCTGGAGAGAACTGCAAATGCCCAAACGTAAGAGAAGAGGAATTGTTAGGTGTCTTCTGTTGGTTGCATTGGGCCCAGGGAAGGCAAATGGGCTGAGAAAAATTGTCTAAAAGAAGGGTACAGTGGAGAATCCAGTAATACTTCTGGAGATCAGGATTTGAATTCACGTCCTTCTGACTCCAGGGCCAGTGCTCTATCCACTGTACCACCTAGCTTCCCCATACATTGCAATATTATTGCAAAAATAATTTTGACCTAGCAATCCCCCTGAAAGGGTTTCAGGGATGATACTTTGAGAACTGCTGAAATAGACAATCTTATATCCCTAGAAGAAAGAATCTTCTTTATGGCTAAATTTTTGTAGGAGTAATCAGGCTGTTAAAGAGTTGCTCAGATAAGCAATAAGTACTAAACAATCCCTCTCTCTACTGCCCCCACCCCACATTTACAAAGTGCTTTGTATGTACACTCTAAAATAGTTGTTGTGCAAAAGCTTAATGCACATAAATCCTATTCCCTCTATGTACAGGACAGATAGTATACTGATAAAAAGATTTAGTGGCCAACTCTAGGCAGGGCAATTACACATGCAACAGATATCAAGGCACACAAGTCTACTAAAGCATGCTTGAAAACAAGGCACAAAACCAAATGGCAATTGCTTACTGTGCTTGTTTGGGTTCTCTGCTACTTTTAAGGGAATTTTCCTCTATGTGAACCAGCCAAATTGAACTAGTGTCTTTCATCCTCTTATATACCTTCCACCCTCTTTGTGAATGAAGTTTACATATATGAACTATGCATAAGGTTGAATATGTGCATGATGCCAGTTTTTTAGGAGCAAACCAAAAAAAAAATGAAAGAAAGTTGGATAATTCATAATATCTTCTTACCTTGAATATTTTCATAATAAATCTGCTCATTGGCCTGAAATACACATGAATAGGATGGTAAGAGAGAGATTCATGGTTTGCATCTCAAATGAAATATTTATGCACACAGCTCAGAATATGACTCTACAGTCAGAACGAAGGCTCTTAAATACCTAGAATTAGTCCCATAATTAATCAGTGATGATGATCTGAGGCTACAACCACATTGGATTAATTATCTAGGTCACGCTCTGCATGAACCTGGGATCCCTTTTCACTTATGCTGGAGTGAGAGACATTTTCTCATCAAATGAAGTTCCTTATTCTACCAACCTGTGAAGACATCCCTTTGGGGAAAGGGTGGGAATTCCCTGCGGGCTGTTACTGTCTGCCAAGATTTCATTAACTAATGAGCTCTTCACCAGAGCCAGTGTCAGACAGGCCAGAGATGTTAGATACCTCTGTTCACTCTACAAGGCAAAACAGAATTGTCGTTGCTATTTCATTTATGGTTCTTTTTTTTGGGGGGGGTGGGGAGTAAGGCAATCGGGGTTAAGTGACTTGCCCAGGGTCACACAGCTAGTAAATGTCATGGTCTGAGGCCGGTTTTAAACTCAGGTCCTCCTGACTCCAAGGCCGGAGCGCTATTTACTGCGCCACCTAGCTGCCCCTTCTTTTGTGGTTCTCAAACAAATATGCTTTTTAATCCATGTGTCTTCTCTGGCTAGAATGTGTTGTTCTGAAAATTCCATACGTTCATGTTTTATAATTATTCAAAAATTTACCCTTTGAAACCCTTCATTCATGTACGTGTCTCCTCCAGGCAGGACTTTTTGTAGCTCTTCTAAGCCTTGGCGAATCTGTTCTCTGAAAACCAAAAAGATACTGTGTAAGACTAATCGAGGAAATCTTTGCTTTGGAGGTTTGTCCTACTGGCATTGGTAGTAATGCAAATGTCACAGGTGGGTTGGTAGTGTTTTCATATGACTGTATTGGATGAATGTATATGCTAATTGCAACAGTGCCAAACTAATGTGTTTAGTGAGTCAGTCAATTAAAAGTTATTAAGTGTTATTAAGTTATGTTATTAAAGAATTAAGTTATTAAGCCTACTATGTGTCAGACATTGTCCTAAGCTCTGGGGATACAAAAAGAGGCAAAAGAAAGACCTTACCCTCAAAGAGCTTACAATTGAAGAAAGAAGATAATAAGTAAACCAGTAAGTACAAACAAGCTCTATACAGGAGAAATAGGAGATAATTAACAGAGGGAAGGCACTAGAATTAGGAAGGGTTGGAAAAGTCTTCTGGTAGAAAACGGGATGTTAACTGGAACTTAAAAGAAGCTAGGGAAACAAGTAAATAAAGATGTTTGGGGAGAAAAAAAAGCATCCTTAGAAATCTATTAACCAGTCAGAACTGTCCCTCTTAGTGAGAGTGTATGCTATATAATGGGTAGCTAGGTGGCACAGTGGATACAGTGCCAGGCATGAGGTTGGGAAGACTCTTCTTCCTGAGTTCAGACCTGGCCTCAGACACTTACTAGCTGTGTGTCCCTGGGCAACTCACTTCACCCTGTTTGCCTCAGTTTCATCATCTGTAAAATAAGCTGGAGGAGTAAATGGCAAACCACTCCAGTATCTCTGCCAAGAAAACCCCAGGACAAAGTTCATGGGCACATAGAGTCAGACACAACTGAATGACTAAAAAACAAGTGATTACTCAATTACTTCAGTAAATGAATGAATTCTTCTTATATCACTGGTTCCTATCATGGAAGTTATTATATGGTGAATAAGTTGAATTAGAAAATTTTTTAGTTAAAACTAGAAGTGTTGAGGTGAGATAGGAAGGACTGTAAGATGTGTTTGGCTACATAGCCTTCTCAGATGGGTATACAAGGGATCCTTAACAAATATTCCATTTTCCCATTGCCCAAAGAGTGCCTTGTAATTGGAATACCTCCTCTAAACCTGTTCCAGCTGCTTGCACATGTATTTTCCTAAAATCTGTGTTTCCCTGGTGCCAACACAAATAATGGTTAGGTGGGAAAATTACTTTTTACTTGGCCTTGTTCCACTGATGCTGTTGTGTCTGGTGAGGTCATGAGCTGAGTTAAATGGTCCTAAGTCTGTATAAGTAAGCCCCTAATACAACTTCTAGTTAGTTCTCAATCAGATGGCATCTCTCAGCCCCTGATCAACCTACTCCTTCTTCAAACATCCCAAAGAGCCCAGAAAAATAAATACATGATCTAACAGAAGCACTCCAGAAGTCCAGTTGGACAATGGATTGTTGTGCTTTAGTCAGAACTAACAGGACTCTTTTTTTAGAGAATTAAGACATTTGGAGAAGAAAGTCTTAAAATGTTGATAAGCTCCTGTTATCTTCATGGGAACTTGCTGAAGCTGGAGTAGGGGTCATACAGTGGGCAAAATCATCATTAAACAACTCTTCTACTATATTGCTTGGTATAATATGATTGATATATATGTATATATATATATATATATACATACACATGCATATACATATATATGTATATACATATCATTAAGGATCACAAAGCACTTTCATCACAATTTTCTTGTAAAGCCAGTAGAACACTAGTATTATAATTCCTGTTTTGCAGATGAGAACACTAAGATTCCAAAAAGTAAAGTGACTTGACTGAAGTCAAAAAGCGATGGACCCAGGACTTTATTCCAGATCTTCTGATTAGGTGGAAAAACCAAAGGATTTGGAGGTTAAGAAAATGGGCTCAAATCCTAACTCATTTTCTATCCACCTGGAAGAGACCTTACAAGTCACTTACTGAAATGTCTTCATTTTTCAGCTAAGCCACAAAGGTTGTAAATCACAGAACCGGAATTAGAAACCAACTTCTCTGATTTTCCTTAGTAGTGATCTCCATCCCAGCTCCAGAACACAAAGAATACTTGGCTTTCAACTCTCTTTTGAACTTGTCACAGAGTTAGAATACTCTAGCTGTGAGACCCTACTCAAGTCATACATAGCCTCTCAGTGACCCAGGGAAATCTCTATGCCAATAAATTAGAGCTGGCTTAGTAATCTCCATTGGTGGAGGAAATTTCCACTCCAAGAATTATCAAAACTGATGAAGTCACAAGTTCACCACCATCCAAAATTTTTGAAAGAAATTGCAATAGCTTAAGGCTATTCAGCAGAGAAATCTTAGATGCTTAGAGAGCTTTGCACCTGGAGTAAGAAGGAGAAGGCCCCCTCCCCTGGACCAGTGCAATCACTTTCTACTCATCTCCCTGCTTCCAGTCTCTCCTCTCCAATACATCTACCTCACAGTTCTCCAAATGATATTCCTAAAAAGTAGGTTGGACCACATCCCTTCCCTGATCCCCAAGCTCAGGTGATTCCCTATTGTGTCTAGGATCAAATAGAAACTTCTCTATTTGGCATTCTAAGTCCTTCACAACCTAAATCCAACTTACCTTTCCCAGTCTATTCCATATTTCTCCCCTCAATGCACTCTGCAATCCATTCAAACTGGCCTTCTTCCTGTTTTTCATGAACAGCATTTTCTCTTCCCTTTGCAAAGGCTAGTTTTCAGGCCTAGAATGTAGCCCCTCCTCACCTTTGCCTTTTGGAATTCCCAGTTTCCTTCAAAGTTCAACTCAAATGCCACCTCTTAAATGAGATCTTTCCTGACCGTTGCCCATTCACCCAGCTGCTGCTGTCTCTTCCCCAAATTACTCCGTATTAATTTGGTATGTGGAGACATGTTTTCCCCACATAGAACTGTAACCCTCTGAGGGCAGGAGCTATTTCATAACTAATGCTTGGCACAGTGCTTAGCACACAGAAGGAGCTTAAAACATAGTTGTTGATTGGTTGCTATAGCCTTGAGAATGAATAGAGATAGACAGTGATAGAAAAGCGACTGGACTCAGATCCAGGGAATCCTGGCTGGGGTGCTTCTCAGAAGCCTTGATCAGAGGAAGATGAACTAGAGCCAGAATACTGGAGGAATGTGAGAGAGAGAGAGAGAGAGAGAGAGAGAGAGAGAGAGAGGGAGAGAGAGAGGGAGAGAGAGAGAGAGAGAGAGAGAGAGAGAGAGAGAGAGAGAGAGAGAGAGAGAGGGAGAGAGAGGGAGAGAGAGAGAGAGAGGGAGAGAGAGGGAGAGAGGGAGAGAGAGGGAGAGAGGGAGAGAGAGGGAGGGAGAGAGAGAGAGAGAGAGAGAGAGAGAGAGAGAGAGAGGAGAGAGAGAGAGAGGGAGAGAGAGGGAGAGAGGGACAGAGAGAGGGAGAGAGGGACAGAGAGAGGGAGAGACAGACAGACAGACAGTGAAGGAGAGGAGAGGAGAGGAAGAGGAAAAGGGGAGGGGAGAGGAAGGGGAGGAGACGAGAGGGGAGGGGAAAGGAGGAGAGGGGAGGGGAGGAGAAGAGAGGAAAAGACAAGCTATAGTCTATGGGGAGATGGGTGGAAGTCCTAGAGCAATCTGATGACTCCAGACTCCCCCTGAAAAGTCTATTCCAGACTGCTCAAGAGTCAGTAGATATTCATACTGGCCACCAAGAGAATGCTTAGGGGACACTGAGAACTAATTGACAGTTTCCTTACCCTATCCAAGGTCTATACATCCCCTCATAAAGTTTTCTTTGGGAAATTTCTATCCTATTACCCATCTGACAATTGCACCCATTGGTTTATGAGGCAGAAAAGACTTTGATACTTTATCCCTCCCTTGTTTATACTGCTTTGGTATATTAACTAAATATCTTTGCTATCAGATTGGTGTCTTCTACATGGTCTGATAGCAGGTAGCATTTTATCTGATTGGGGTTGAAGCTATGATTTTCAGAATCATTTACTCAAAAGAATCCTCTGAATCTAAGAAAAATAGAAAAGGCCAACAGAGTCAGACATCTCAGAGACTTCCAGGTCCCCATCTTACATGCAATTTTGTATTATATAAAGGCAATCACCACCCTTTCCACAGAGGCAGGGACTATTCTATCTTCAGACACCTGAAGAGATCATGTGGAAAGGGGACAGGCTTGTTCCACTTGGGCCCATAAGGCTGCACTAGGCCCAATGGGTAAAAGTTGTAGAAAAGCAAAATTTTGCTTCCATACAAGGAAAAATATCTTAATAATAGTAGCTATCCCAATCGAATGGGCTGACTTTGGAGGTAATGAGTTCTCCACAACTGAAAGTCTTCAAGTGGAGCTGAATAATACTTTAAGCCTACAATGCTAGTCACTGAAGATTTTTATCTCACTCAATGTTTCATAATATTGTTCTATACCCAATAAGTGCTTAATAATTATTTTAAAAATTCTGAACAAATGAAAAAAAACCCAAAGGATGTATATAGAACATTTTCCCCAAATCTACATATCCCTCTTCTTTATATGTTCTATATAGGACTTTTTTTCATTTGTAATATTATCATTCTTTCCTCACAAGGAATGAATATTACTGCTTTCAAGTATTAAATGTCTGAGTTATATTTTTCATTTCAGAAGGGTTTTTGAAGTTTGTCTTTTAGTGATGACATGGCATAATCAATCTGCTCCAGCAACAAGAGATGTGTTTGATATACAGCATTTCCCCCAGTGACATTAGTAATAAAAGCAAACCCTAGGAAGAGCCCAAAAGGTGGCTGAAGGTTGCCCAAGAATAGCTTCTTGGATTCTGTCCAAAAACTCTTAACTCACAAGATTTCTAAACATTAAACAAGTCACTTAATCACACAAGCCCCTCTATGAAATGGCAGTAAATACATTTTTGAACTCGAGATATGAAAAATCTTCTCAAACCAATGTTCTTAAAGGGTCGTGATAATGAAATGCATAGTGCCACACATCTATAGATGTTTTCTAAAAAAAA